AGAACATAAATAGCCCCCTTTAAAAATAAATCTCCACTTTTAACTCTGCAGATAAAAATATCCGAATAAAGGACAGTTCTTCATCTCCACCTTCTCCTCTGCTTGGTCGAGCATTTCTAAGTGGAGGCTTTTTTTTCCCTTCTCTTTTTACAGGTTTCATTTTGGCTTTGATTCTAGTGAGTTTACTGACAGATTACTTCATTTTAACTATATGGCTTTCCTGTCTAGTGGGAGGCATATTTCTAAGTATCATATTTATCAAAAGAGCCGTGCAAAACAAGGGCCAGAATTACTCTTTTGATGGTTCCCCCTCTAACTACAACTACAATAAATTTTGTGAGAACGAATGCTCAACCGGGGACCTTTTATGTTAAAGCCGAGAACCAGGGTGCGGGCACTGTCACGTTCAAGTCTCCACCAGTTAGGCTGTTTTCCTCTTCTTCTCCCCTCCCTGGGCAGAAATCTCACATCTGGTCTCACTTGCAAGGCTGGTCCTGGACTCCCAGGGGCTCTATATTTTCCCCCTATAACTTTAAATCAGAAGAGCATTTCAGTAAATCACAGGGACACTTATTTATTGGACATAGTTTGGGTCTCTTAAAGCATGGAGAATAAATTTAATGGAGCGTTCCGAGCGTTCTCCAATCTTTTGAGGGATTACTTGGGGAATTTGTCAACTGCACCGGGGCCCGGCAGCCTGATCCAGGGAGATGGGGATGAAATGACGGGAGAATCTTCTCAGAGGACCCAGGTGGATCCTAAATCACCCCGAGGAAGATTAATCTAAGAGGCCAGTTGCCAGCAAAGTTGATGGGCAGCGTTGCCGTTTATTTAATAAACTATCATTTCAGCTGGAGGGCGACTTTAATCTGAATTACACTTTGTTCTTGTCATCCACTGTTGCCAAGTAATTTATGGAATACCATAGCATGTTCTTAACCTCCAACGGCAGAGCGGGGAGGAGACAATGGAGGCTGGGCTAAGAACAAAGAAAGATGTCCAAAGGAGAAGGCAGGGGAGGCCCGGGAGGCTGTAAAGACCTGGGGTGAACGGAAGAGCCGGGTGGAGAGGGGCCGGAGGACAGACGGGGAGCCTGGATGGGTGAGGATGGGCGGCTGGAGTCAGAGGTGGACGGAGAGTGGGTGGGTGGAGAGAAGATGGGTCAAGCGGGTGGGTGGAGAGAGGGGGTATGTCGAGGCGGTCTAGTCTGGTAGGAAGCTTCAGTTCTTGGGGCCTTTGAGAAAAGAAGGTTGTCAGGGCTGGTCTTTCTTCCATTAGGAAAATAGGTCAGGGTGAGTTCTATAGGCTTGAAGAATCCAGGGTGCTACGTGGTAGTAGAAGTATTTCTACAGGAGAGATAGATGCAATGTGGACGGCTGATGGAGTTGCAGGGTGGGATGGGCGTCAGAGACAAAGAGATCTTGATGTTTCAGAAGGGCTTTACTGTGTTTGGAAGCATTGGAACAATAACTTTTTTTTTTTGGTGATCATTATCTGTCACAGCTGCCATACCCACACTCTGAGACTGTGGGTCTGGTCGATCCTGATGTGTTCTCCTCTTAGTCTTGGTTAAGGAAGCAGGGAGGCATGCTTGGTCTTAGGACACCATTAGTAAGGTAGCCGCGGTATAAACAGAAGCATGGGGGTGGTGGTGGTGAAGGTACATAAGCCATAGTTGGTCAGGGGCTCAGGGGGTGCTCTTTCAGCCATCAGACCCTTAGGTTTGGCTTTCTGGATGCCGGGGAACAGCTGCTCTACATAATTTCTTGGAGCATCTCTGGCACCGTGGGAAGAAGGTTCTCATCCTCCATGTGCCTGTCTCACACTCCAGTCCTGACCCCAAGGCAGCCTCCGAGACAGTGGCTCCTCCCTTATTTCTTCACTCTTTCCCCTTTCAGCTTAGGGAGGCTAGTCCCGGCCTTGCACCTCCTGGATGGCAACGCCAAGGATGGGTGGTGAGAATCGGGGTGAGCGTTGGGTGTGGGGTGGACCCAGACATGGCGGAAGAGGCCGGGGAGAGTCAGGATGACTAGACTGCTAGCCCAGGAAGAACTCCGCCATTGTCTTTCTTTAACAAAACTCAAAGCAGAGTATAAAGGGAGACCTCTGTCTGGCCCTAGGCTCTCGTGGAGGTTGGGGCAGGCGCGGAGAGGGAAGCAACTGTAGGAAGATGGCGTCACTGGTCAGCACGTACTGAAACCCCGCCCTTCCAGTGACTTCTCCCTGCCTTTGCCACTCTTCTATGCTTATGAACCTTATAATTCAGCTCCGTCCTGGACCCCTCCCTGTCTCCTCCTAGTCCTGTGCTCTGGGCAGGGTCGTGGGCACGCTGGAACCAAGCTACCCCTTTTCACTCATTCCTTTGCCCCTGCACACTCTTCAAGGTTGAGAGCAAGGTTTATGTCTTCTCAGAGCATCCCCCTGGCCACTCTGTTCTCCCTGACCAACTGTGGTCCAAAGCACACCAGTTTCCTATTTCTTCTGTTGGTTCCTTGATCCTCCGTCTGTCTTATCTCCTGATTGGTAAGTGAGGGCCTTAAATGGGTGAGCTCAAAGGTCTTTGCAGTTCTAGGATCGTCCGTCTATTTGCTTGACTGAGTAAGACTGACTGCACATGCCTACAGGAGCAGGAACAGCATCTTTTCCTTATATGGAATCCTACAATGTTCTAGCACAGGACAGGGCCCTGACTGAGTGTTCTACAAGGGACTTGTTTTACCTGACTTCTAGATGTCCCTTTCTCCTAATAGAAGAAGCAGAAGCAGCTTAGGTGTCCTGGAAGCCTGTTTGTGCTAGGCTTGCAGTAGAACTGTTCTGCAGTGGGTGGATTCGGGGTGGGGTTGGGAACTAGGATGTTTCTGCTTTCAGTGTGTTTAGTAATTTGTGCAGGGGAACTTTCTCGAGACAAGGGGGAGGGGGGCAATATTATTAAACGACCAGGGCTCTTCCCTGTAGCAAATGCATTTTGCAGCACATTAGAAACAAGCGCCCTGGTGGTACAGGCCCATAATCCTTAAGTTCAAGTTTTGTGTGGGGCTCCAAGGCAAGGTCAGGGCCAGCCTGGACAACTTCATGAGACCGAAGTAACCAAGGGGAGAGGGGGGGCTATGGCTTAGTGGTAGGGTATCTACCACATGAGACTATAGATTCAATCTTGGGAACTGCCAGGAGAAAAGATGATCTCTTTGATTCATATCTGAATCCCCGCCCCCAAGACTTGGGCAGGTCTCTTGATTTGTGAGTCTTGTTTCTTCATCTCTTTGTGAGTGATGCCGATAGATGCCCTGTCTACCTCAGACGGTTGTTGTGGGGATGGAAAGACGAGTGAGCACGTGACAAGGCTCTCTAACTTGTGACGTTAATAGCGGTCCAGGCCAAGAAACATTGCAGCCTAAGAGGTCAAAAGTAAAACACAAAGAAGAAGAGAAAAAGAGGCACCAGGGGGTTTCTTCGTCCCTGTCTCACTACCGGACAGAAAAACAAACTGTTTTTGTTTTTGTTTTCCTGGAAGATACTCTGTTAGAATTGCTTCCCTCCTCCTCCCCCCAAAACATGGAAAGGAAAAAGTCGAGTGTGAAGGAACATTCTGGTATATTCTGAAAGTTGACTCTGGAAGGAGAGGAAAACACGAGCAAACAAAAGCTGTCACTCACTGGCAAGCTGCTTCCCCTGGGGAATAATCTCTGTGAAGGAAAACGAAATCTCCGCCGCGGCTGCCTTGAGCTGGGTGCAGACAGTGCGGTGAACGGGGCGCCTCTGCGCCACGCCCTCCCCCACCCCCGATCTGGGCTTTTACTGTCTTTTAAGAGTTGGCCTGCTGTCTCCCAAGTGAGGACTGCCTCCTCGTCCTTGGGTGCTCCTGTGCTTTGTACAAACAGGCGCATCCAGGGGTGTCAGAGCTTGTGCCCGGGTCTCCTAGGGCTGTGTCTACCCTCTGGCTGGCTGCCACCCCCGTGACTCCTCATCCGAGCTCCGGCTTTCTCTTTGAGCTCATCCGTCACCCTCACCCTGCCTTGTCAACTTTTGCCCCATGATTCAGAAGTCAGAGGGACCCTGGAAGCTGGCAGCGGGGACTCCAGCCTTCTAGAAACCTGTTTGTGTGCACACAGACAAAGGCCTTCCCCTCCCCACGCGCACCATCCCGACTTTCCAAGATGATGATTGAGTTTTTCCCTCTTCAGCTTGATATTTCTGCCAAGGCAAGAAAAATCCTTGTTGAAGTCTAGCAGGAAATCCAATAAAAATTCTTCAAAAGATGGGCTTGACATTGAAAAACAGCAAAATTATAAAATAGGCCTTAGAAAAGAGAGAGGAGAGTTATTGTATCTGGCACCGAGCAAACGCCCCGAGACCCCGTCCAAATGAGCCATCGCAGATTGAAAGTGTTTAGCTTCCCGTTGATTAAATATGGAGAAGGACCCAGGGCCTGCCAAGCCTCGGGGATCCAAAGTTTGTTTTCAGTCAGAATGTGTTTTCAGTCAATGGAAAAAATGGTCGGCCTGTGCCGGGCTATGTAACCGAGAAGCCCCAGGTTTGCAGTGAGTAATGGCTGTGAAGCAGAAAACCATGAGGGCTGTTAATCATCCCTCGCAGGGCCCTGTAATTTCACTCAGCGACTCAGGAGGCTTGGACCACGCTCCCACCCCCTCTCATTTTCTTCCCCCCTCAGCTCATTTTGCTCAAGAGAGAAGAGAGGAGTCCTTCCAGTGCTGGGCCCATGTCTCAGGAGTTCTTACACCCCGTTCTTCTCCCCTCTGCCCACAATGTCCCCTTTTGCCAGCGGCTGCTCTGAGCGTTCAGGGCAGATGTATTCACGTCTATGGGGCTCTGTCAGGGGAACTTCCCCCGTCCCATGAGGGCTCTGGAACCAAGGTCTGGAAAAACCCCTTCCTCCCCATTGCCTTCCCAAGGCCAGCGGTCTTCGGAGCATTCCTAGATGCTCTTGAGTGGGCTTGTCTTAGTTCTGCTTCACCGTATTTTCTTTCCCCTTTCCTTTTCAGGCAGGGTCTTGCTCTGTAGCCCAGGCTGGACCCAAAACTCTTGGGCATGCGCCACTCTGCCTGGCTGGACAGTTTCCATTTCTCCTGGGCTCTTACGGATCCTACCCCATTCCCTTCCGATGAAGAGGCTGAGCACTCTAGTTACTGATGGCGTCCAAGTCCTCCCTCACGGAGGAGGTACGTGAAGGCTGAGGGAGGGAGAAGAAAGTAGAGGGGGGACATGGGAGAGGGGGAAGAGAAGGGAGGGAAGGAGGGAGAAGGAGAGGGAGAGGGAGAGGGAGAGGGAGGGAGGGAGAGAGAGGGAGGG